AGCTCTGCTGTCTTCGAAGCGCCCACGGGCTCGAGGCGCTATCAGGATGCCTCTAGCCTGGACTTGCTGGCCGGTTTTGTAGCCAATCTCTATGCCATAGCTGCAAACAGCCTAAAGGACCTTATTAACAGGTGTGTTGTCGCTCTATAGCTGCACTTTTTGTGTCTTTTCGCCGTTGTCAACTCGGTCACAACTAGATACTAACAATAACCAGAATGCCTTGTTGCCAAATACTGACAACGATTACTGCGGTCGATGCAGGCAGTCTGTCCAAAATCTGCCTTCTTAGTCCTGAAAGCGGACCGACACTACCTTCTTACCCGAGGCGAGTGTCACATAATAGGCCCCTTTGTGATTATGGGCACGATTTGGGTTCACTCTGAGGCCACTGCATTCTTGAAGGCAGATGTCAGTTTGTTGATCATTCTGGAAAGAGCGCACCTTGCTTTGGCGAGTTCTTGTACACATAGCTGCCGGGAGGCATCAAGGGTCATAGAGATCCGAGGTATAATGCATGCAAATAGGGTAAGACCACTAACTCCTGAGGAAGTTCTCTGCAACTATTGCCCCCGATTTAATTCTCGATTTTCTGAGAACTTAACGCATACTTCTTCCTGTGTCTCCTCTTTCATTGTTCATGCACTGACCTCGCTTTCTGCGTTCTGCCTGCCAGCTCTCTTGCTCCTGCCCAAACGAGGAGCAAGTCTGTCGTGGAGGCCACCATGCGGACCAACACTGCTCGTCTCCTGGTTTTGGATCCACCCGGACTGCAGTGCCCAGAGTCAGGCGGTCGAGCTTCCGGGGGCAGTTTTGAGGATCTGCTCTACAACTACGCCAACGAATGTCTCCTACAGCTCTACCAGAAGGGCAATGACACCAACGAACCAACCATTGTGAGTTTTCAGTCTCTTTTTTGTGTCCACTAAATAATTTTTGATTGGGTCGCCTATTAGGCTTAGAACTATTATGGTGTATCTGTTTGCAAAATCTCCTATTGTGCGTGAAACTGGATGTTCACTAGGACCCAGTCCTTATTTTCCTCTATGCCCGAGCCCTCTGCGATGACTGGATCGTCACATTAGGCCGGTACGCCGGGGTTTTTTGCGGTTTTTTGTTGTTGCTGATATTGTTCTTCGTTCAGGCGTCTGCGTAAGCTCTCTCTAC